ATACTGAACAGAGAATAGTACATGACTGAGGCAAAGGTTAAGGATTAGCTCTAACCACAGTGGCTTGTGGGCTACGAGAACCAAAGACTACAGAATTCTGGGGAGTTAATGCAGGAATGTACATTTTGCTAGCTTTCTGTATTTTCATTAATATGTTAAATAAAGATATATGGCTAGAAATTGTTTCTGGTAATGTCCTGAGATGAAATGATGGAAAAGTAAAGTAAAAGAATTTGTACCTTTCCAGAGTAAGTAGGGATTATAGGGAAATCTCCAAAGCAAAGTATTCCTAGGGCACAGTACTGTGATGTCTCTGTAAGGAAATAGTTTTTTTTTTTTTTTTCCAGTAAGTGAGAATTCTAAACTCCCAGGATTTGAGAAAAAAATAGTAGTAAGCCCTTCAGTGAGGATGGATAAGTAGATCACATGGTCTTGTGACCAGTCTCCTTAAATTCTGCCCTCTCTACCAAAGAAGGAAGCCAGGAGGAAGAGGAGGGAGGAGGAATGTAGGAAGAGGGAAGAACCTAAACTGTAATTCTATATATGGGCAAAAGATTCTTTCCTTGCTTCCTTAAAGACTAAGGAGTCAAAGCTGATAATAACCACTGAGCCAGGAAATCTACATTCTAAACATCACCTGCTCCTTGAGGCGTATAGTGCCCATCCTGTAGCTCCCTAAGAGGGAGAACAGGATGCTGCCTGTGTTGGTGAAGCCTGCTCCTTGGCCTGCCCCCTAGTGAACATACCACTACAGCAAATAGGAATGCTTTCCCAGACACCTGGCTTTCTCAGTCCAACCCCAGAATGTCACCATCCAGCAATCTCTTCTTGGAATTGCCATCTAAAGGTATGCTTCTCTGTCAGACAAAGTAGGTATTTTTTAAAATACTTAACTCATTTAAATACTATGTGAATTTTGTGTTACTGACCCTTCTTCATAGAGGAGAGAAGTAAGGTTCAAAGAGGTTTTAAAACAATATATTTTCCCCTTTGTGACACACCTAATAGCAGGGAGCACTAGACCACAAATCTGTCCTATTGGACTCCAAAGCCATTCTGTTCCAAACCCTTCCATGCTTTCTAGTTTTAGCAGGCTGTCTATCCTGGGAGGCTTTAGGCATTAATAGAGACAGAATCCCTTTCACTCTGAGTCTCACAGCTTTGAGAAGCTTCGTTATTGAAACATCTTGTTCTGAGCTGTGCTCAGGATCCAGATTCTGTCAGCCACTTGAAGACAGCTAACACAGTGAAGCAAGAATGTTGGAAACTGCCTTTTACACTGGGCTCATGTGGACACCATCCACCCGCCTCAGAACCAGCCAATCTGTTGCCTATCTGCCTTCTGCAGCACCATTTAAGTTTTAATTATCTTCCAACTGTCTGAGCCACTGTTGAGGACCTCAGAGAACACAAAGGATAGCTGTTACAGTTTTCAACTGTGGTCTTCTCTAATCACTGATGAAGTCACTAGCTGCCACTGCCCTTATTACCAGGTTAAATCAGAGAGTGACTCTACTGGAAAGAGTGCTGAAAAGGAAAGTCATTGTTGAACTTCACCTGTTTGGAATCTAAAGAAAAGACGGCATCTACTTCACCTGTTCAGGAGTTAAGATGAAAATTGGCTTTACTTTTTCAAAGGAAGTAAAAAAGAAAATTCTATTTCATCCTTATCCCCGGGTTTTTTGTTTTGTTTTAGTAACTCAGGTTATAACTTCTTTTCTGCTTTTGGGATGCTTTATTGTGAGTCCTGTTGAGGAATCTTGTCCAAGTCTAGAGTGGTACACCTCTTCACCCCAACTAATTGTTACTCCTAAGCTCTCCAGGGTCTCTGAACTATTTTTCTTTTAATTTTATTATCTTTAAGTAGCTGTTCAAAGGAGTTGCCATGTAACAAAGCAGTTTAGGAAGACAGTGCATCTTGATCAGTCACCCTTTCAACATTCTCACTCCTCCCACCCAACCTATCCTTTCCTTCACTTGGCTTATTTTTATAGGATATACCTTGAATTCTTGACTGCATTCTCCCCACTTCTTTTCTTCGTTTGTTCTACCCCTTTCCCACCCCTTTCAAGTATGCATTTCCTGGTGCTTATTTTTTAACTTTGACTTTGCCTTTCTAAGTAATGACATTATTTGAGTTCTCCCTTGAGTCGACCATATTTCAGCTAATGTATTTGTCTGTACTTGCTTAACATCCAACGTATTTACTCATTTTTTTTGTTTGTTTTTTTGTTTTTGCCGGTCATGGGGCCTGAACTCTGGGCCTGGGCTCTGTCCCTCAACTCTAGTGCTCTACCACTTGAGCCACAGCGTCACTTCTACCTTTTTCTGCATATGTGGTGCTGAGGAATTGAACCCAGGGCCTCATGCATGTGAGGCAAGCACTCTACCACTGAGCCATCTTCCCAGCCCTTTACTCATATGTTTATAAGCTAATTCTAACTTCCATATGAGGAAAGACATGCAACTTTATCTCTCAGGGTCTGAGTTACTTCACTTAACATAATTTTTACCAGGTCTTAATTTCTCAGCTACCACCACCAGTCAATGAGGTTATTCATTAATTGAAACAATAAGCCATTCTATTCTGGAGTTTTAGTATAGGAGGAAGTGCTTGAGAAGAGGGAGCCGCCTTCTTTCTTTTGATGCTACCATTTTAAATGTGCGTTCAATAAGGAATGTACTCCAGTTTTGTAAGTTATGCTATAATTTTAAAGAGACTTAGAAAGTATTATAGAAATAGAATAATTAAAGTGGTTATGAATGTTACATATAGTAGACTAATCAAGAAGTGTGATATACAGTGGTGAACTGCTAATTTGACCTCAGCATTATGCAGTGGAGATAACATTATCCTCATATATAGAGAGAGAAATTTTTATCTGGAGACATTTCTCAGTGCTTTTCCAACCATATATATTATTTTGTTTATTCTCACAAACACTATCATTAAAACTGTAAAATGTATTCCAGTGCATCTTTTTTTATTTTCAATTGCTTATAACCAGGGACACAGGGAGGGGAACATTGCTTTTTTAAATTTTTTTTCACATTTACACTAGGGTAAAATTTGAGAAAGGACTATTATCTAAACTTAGAAAACTTGATTCCTTATAATGTTTTGAAAAGAAAGACAAGGAAGGAGGGAACTTCCCAGTATCCCCTTTGGTCTGTCTAGACTATATTTAATCTTAAGAATAACCCAGGGGAAAGGCCCCATTAGTCACTTCCTGGCTCTTTGTGCACACTGGGAGAACTATCTTTCTGTTGGTAGAGACTTGACCTAGGGAATAGGAAAATGATCTGATCAAATTCCACCAATCGTGTTCCCTCCAAGGTTGCAGACAACAGCACTCAGGCTGTCATGGCTCTGTGCGGTTGAAAATGCTACCCTGGTTAAGTTACTGTGGGTTTAAGGAAATGGACAAAATTAGATTTAGGCTGAGGTGCCAAATTGAATGCACCCCTTCCCTTCCAGAAAGCACCAAGGAGCTTGCTACTGCCATCAGTAAAACAATAACAACAACAACAAACAACACAATCCAAACCACTCCGACCATTAAGAACTTTTTAAAATGACTCCACCTAGCTGAGTCCAGTGGAACCAGCCCCTTCTGTTTGCCCTTAAGGTTGATGAGATCAGGCCCAGCCTTTTACTTACCCCACAGGCTCTGGTAAGAGGGACAGTTGCTTGATTCTCAGCTCAGGAAGAGTGGTGTCTCCCTGCAGTAAGGATGAGCACACTGACAGCCAAGAGATCACATTAATATTGGTTATGAAGATGAGTGATCAGCTCATGTCAAGGAGCAGATGGCCTAATGAGGTACATAGGGAACACCATGAGATATAGCCTTGAAGAAACAGGAGGGAAAACAGCTCTTGATATGAAATCCCTAAATATAGACTCCTTAATGGGAATTTTTAAAATTGGTTTTTACCTAATACAGTTAACTTAGAGTGATGAGAAATCTAAGGAAATTACTGAATTAGTGAGCAGTGATTAACTCAAAAGTAAAATTATATCATCTAAACTGAAGGTTCTTTTACCCACAGAGAGAGGATATTACCAAAACCTTGCCTAGTCTGTCAAATCCTAATTGAAATCTGTTCATTTAATATGCCCTATCCTGAGTATATAGTTTATAATTTGGAAGAGCATTATCAGCTAATATAGTTATTTTTCTTGGTTCTTCCTTTGAATTCCAATAAGACAGTGTGTGGTACATTCCCTGTGGAATTGTGAGGCTCTCAGAAGAGTGAGTTTGTCTGATCATTAACCTGTGAACTGTCAGTTCTGTTGGAGAGCGAAGGGAGCAAGTCACTCCACAGCTAATGCTTGTTTGTTGGTGTTGATGTCTCCAGGGAGATGGGCAGGGTGAACAGGCCAAGACCTACTGGACAAAACTGCACTGTGTGCAGAGGCCAGATCTGTAGGGCCTGGAGGGAGGCTGCAGAGCAGGCTGGGCCCTCTGCAGATCACTTCCTCAGTTTAGGAGCAGAGTTCCCAACAGTCATTTGGGGGTAAAGGGGCTGGCGTAAGTATGTAGGGTTAACTTTCTCATGGAACCTAGAAGCAGTCCTTAAAAGACACTGAGGTTTTCAGTGAAGGATATGCATTTTCCCTTTTGAACAGGGAAGCAATAGTGATTTCATGCTTTTGTCTCCAGTGGATAAAATCTTCCCTTCAGCTGGGATGCACTTGATTTTGCCTCTGTTTGTGCATATATGCAGAGATATACCCATATGTAGCCATTAGTTATTCTCTAGTACAAGTGTTTTGTGGGCATATACGTGGACTGACATTCAATGTGATTTTCTAGGTACATCCAAGTTTACTTCATTATCTGGGACGTGACATCTCCCTGTGTTTGCTCTTTTCTTCTAGGTTTAGTTGGACCCAGCTCTCCTGGTTACTATGTGTTTAAATGGTATACCTTATCCTGTTATTTTTTGATTGGTTGGTGGAGCTCATTTTCAATAAGTTTTCTTTATACCTTCAGGTATATTCGAATAGTTGGGACTCATAACACAGTGAACAAGATCTTTCACATCGTGGCTTTTGAATGCATGTTTACAAACAAGACCTTTACTCTGGAGAAGGGGCTGATAGGTAAGTGTTAAAATTACATTTTTGTATATGTATTTAGATATTTTGTCTTCAGATACTTGTTATTACATTAATTCATCTTAATCTGCTCTAAGGACTGGGTAATTTGAATGTCTTATGGCTGAATGACAGAGATATGTTACATTCTTAGAAGCAATAAAAATAATTGCAGTAAACTTAAAAGAATGTAAATATTATATTAGTAATTAAAATTGAAATATTTTAGTAATTCATCCAGATTTGCAGTGTAGGATTTGCTCTTGATAATCAAGCAAAAACTCTCACACCAAGGGCTTTTCTGGATTTAATAGTAGGTGAGATTGGTAAGGCTCCGTATGATATGAATTGGATGTTTACACTTTGTAGGGCTATGAGGGCATGTTGGCTTTTGATTTGATATGAATGGTATGGCTCAGCTGATTTCATGGACAAGTCAGTCCATATTTCCATGTTTAGTCAACTTGACCACAAGAAAAATGCCTGCCTATAAGTTAAATAAAACCAGAATAGCTGGGCTGCTGCTGCAGAAATCAAGTTGCTGGGTAAGAAATTCTCCCTGACTGATCTTTGAGAAGAGTATTCTTAATTTTGGATCAGTTGTTTGTTTTTCATGGTATTTGGTTTTGGTTTTATCTTAGGTAATGCTTAGTGGGCATTGTGTGCACCTCATCCCAGGTCTTGATGTTTGAAATAGCATGAGTGGCCTTTCCCTTCAGACTCCTTATTCCCTATATTCCTCTTCTCTCTTCCCTTTGCCCACAGCTTTTTACCCTACTTCAGCAAAGATCACAGGTGGGCTAGTGAGGTCCTTGCATCTGTGCTTCTACTTCTGCTTCCTTTGAGAAGTAGCTCTCTATGTCCAGATGCCCCTGCTTGCAGAACGCCATATAACATTCTGTGCCTTTGAGAAAGAACTTCTTATGTTTTTCTCAAGCCCTGTCCGTGTAGGGAACACACATCCACATTGATACATGTCATTAAAAACTGGTAGTGATAGAATGGGAAAAATGGGAATTTTGGCACTAAATGTAAACTAAAAATTCCATCTTTGAACAGACATTGCCTATATTTTCCTAACACCTGTTGCTATAATCCTATTCTTATGGAAATTTTGGAGAGTAATATTAATATAGTTGTAAGAGTGGAAATTCTACTGCATAAAGAGCTTTTAGAACTCAGCTAAAGTAATTGTTTTGGTTTTAACTTTGTTATGGATGTAATTTTAAAAATTAGACCTCAATGTTAATTTTTGTTACTTTTAAGTAATTTGAAAACATTATGTGGTTTGAAGCACTATGTGGTGTCATAGGCTTGTGGAAATAGGGCTGTAGGCCAGAGTTCTTCTCCCACTGCCCTGGTGCTTCTGTAACCTGGGGCTTGCCTATGTGTGATCATGCAGCCAGGAGAGGCCTTGCTGAGAGTCTGAAGAACCAAGGTCTTTTTAATCCCAAGATATATAGCATCATCTCAACTCCATGGGCAGCATTTTTGAACATGTGATATTGAAGGTGCCATCTACTTATTAGTCTCCCTTCTTATTGAGGAAAAACAGGTTTGTGGACACTGCACAAACCAAAAAACAGGCCTGTCTCACAGAGAGGCCATTACAAGAACAAAACTCAGTATGGGTTGTAGTGAAGGAGGTGGCTGTTGGCTGCATGTTCTGTCCAAGCTGAACCAGTCAGCATTATCAGAAACCCTAATAGTCTCAGGAATGTCAGGTGAGGAAAGAAGAGTGTAGATATGCAAAAAGTATTTTTGTTGTCTAGCCAGGTACTTTTCTCTGAGCTCTTTTTCTATGACTACAAAGAACACTGTAATCATCTACCTGTCATGGTCCCTCAACCGAATGGGAACAGTGGTGCAGGTAGGTAGCTCTGCAAGTACCTTTGCCAACAGATGGCCTGCAGTGGGAACCCCTTGGGTCCTTCTTGGGACCATCTTCACAGCTTAGAGCTGCTGTGTGGGGCAGAGAGAGAGGTGGTGTAAATGTGACAGATGCAGGGGATCACATTATCCTCTGTCTGACATTGCAGCTTTGTTTAGGTTGCAGAGGTGTTTGAAATGTAGTGGCCAGCTTTCCTGGTTGATTATCTCATACACAGGCCTCTCAGAAACGAATTGTCTGCTAGTGGGGACTCAGGTATGTCAGGATTTATCAGAAGATTTGTTTATTTATTTATTTAGAGATGAAACCTCACTGAGTTGCCCAGGCTAACCTGGGCAATAATCCCTAGCCTCAGTTTTTGTTTTTGTTTTTTTGGGTTGGTCATGGGGCTTGGACTCTGGGCCTGAGCGCTGTCCCTCAGCTCTTCAGCTCAAGGCCAGCGCTCTACCACTTGAGCTACAGCACCACTTCCGGTTTTCTGGTGGTTTATTGGAGATAAGAGTTTCACGGACTTTCCTGCCCGGGCTGGCTTTGAACTGCAATCCTCAGATCTCAGCCTCCTGAGTAGCTAGGATAACAGGCATGAGCCACCAGCACCTGACTAGTCTCAGTTCTTTAGATAGCTAGGACTGCACATGCCTCTGAGCACCCAGCTCAGGGATTACTTTACTCTGTAGATTCCCCTTATTACTCCATCTATAGTCTATGAAATATTCACTCTCCCCTGAAAAGTAAAAGGACAATAATGTCATAATAACTGGTAATCTTAATTTCTTTCTGTTTCTAGCTTTGGAACTTCTTCCTCTAATTATTGTCCTGTAGGCCTTAAAAATGACTTTTAGGATATCTGTATTTTTAAGATCAGAGATTAGTGTTATGGCTTCAAGGATGTAATGCTGCATGAGCTATATGAGATTTTGGTGTTCTTTTCCTACCACAGGGCTTTATTATGTATCCTAGCTTGGCTTCAAACACACAAGCTTCCTGCCTCTATCTCCTGAGTGCTGGGATAACATGCATGTACCACCCTCCTCCCACCCCATTTGATAACAGTATGTCACTCTACATACTTCTTTATTTGCGGCAAGCTTTGAAGTCCTCCAGGTTCATATATCCTTGGGAATGAGTTCCAGCTACGTTTCCACTTGGGGGCCCCTTCCGGATCTGGCTGAGATACATTGTGTTTAAGGCACATGTAGAAGCCCCCTAATCTGTCTTGCAAAGGGAGCATGGAGGCTATAGTTAGAACAGAAGACACTACGATGTTGTAAGCTTTTAACCTCCAAAGCAATGTGTTTGTTAGCCTTGGCAATACAGTTTGTGATACATGCTGCACTTGCCAAGTTGTACTTTTTCATGAGGATTGCCATATTTCCCTTTTTTGTTGAATCTTGTGTTTACATTCACATCCTTTAATGTCTTACTATTCATACAGAGAATATCCCTATCAGCCTTCTTCAAGAACTGTACCTCACAGTCAACATGGTTTATCTTTCTGTGTCCTACTTCCTCCTCATGATAATATTTTAGAGTCAGTCACAAATGTTTTATTGTTTTATCTGTTAATATTTCATTACATATCTCTAAAATTAAGACATCCTTTTTGTAGCCATAATCATAGTTTCCCCTGGCCCAATTGTAATTAAATAGTAATACTTTTAAGAGTTATTGTTAGGTTCTGCACAGATAGCTCACACCTGTAATCCTAGCTACTCAAGAGGCTGAGATCTGAGGATTGTGATTGAAAGCCAGCCTGGGCTAGAAAGTCCAGGAGACTCTTATCCCCTGTTAACTAGCAGAAAGACAGAAGTAGGACTATGGCTCAAATGGTAGAACACTAGCCTTAAGCAAAAAAATCTCAGGGATGATGCCCAGGTCCTGAGTTCAATCCTTAGGACAAGCACCAAAAAATAAAAAAATTAAAAATAAATAAAAATAAAAAAATAAGAAAAAGAAAAGAAAGAAGAAGAAAAGAAACATTGCTAATTATTATTTAACTTTCCCCCATTGTTTCAAATTCTGGAGGAAGAATGTTTGTGTTGATAGGTTAATTCAGGGGGGAAAAAAGCAGGGCTGAGACTGTGTATCTTGTACCAGTGCAAGGACCTAGGTGTGGTCCTCAGCACAATCAAATCCAGATAAGTTCCATTTGCCAATAGTTATTACTCCTAAATCTCTTTAGATGTATAGGCTTCTTTAACTTTCTCCAGTTTATTGAGTTTGAACAAACTAGATTTATATACAGTAGAACTTCTGAAAGCCTGGATTTGAGTCTGAGTGCTAATGGTAATGTTTGTCATGGTCACCTATGTCTTTGACTTGATAGTTAGATGCTAAATCAGATTCAAGTAATTATTTAGTACTATGTCTCCATAAGCAGTGTTAGATGTGTCCACCAGTAAGCACAAAAATGCTGTGTAGTTGTCCTTGAATGTTTCTGTCCATTGATTATTTCCTAGATTCATTTTTTTGTAATTTGGGATCACAAAATGTTTATATTCCAATTCTATCATTCTTGCCTTTTTTACTTACTAACTATAAAGAATAGCTAAAACTATATTCCTAAAGTATAGTCAAACATTCCACTACAGCTTCTAGTGATCCTAAGATTCATTTTGCCCAGAAAAGGTAGGATAATTGTTAAATTCTTTTTATTTGCCCTTTGCAAATGCAGAAGTGGTTCCCTAGCATCCTTCAAAGATTACCAAAGAGGCTTGTTTGTGGGCTTCTTAAGGGGAAGTGGATACACATTATTTTGAATTTATGGCATTAAACACATTTAGTATCTTTTAGTCATTTGCAATTACCGCTTTTCTTCTTCAAAATGTCTCATCTTTAGCCTCTTCAAATTGGTCCTTGAGCCCTTTTGATGTAACTTCAGAACATGGGCAGCTCTTTGATTTCTGTCTTAACATGATACACCAGGTTCATATTGCACATTTCTTGGCTTGATGTGGAATTACCCATTTATTTTTATTTTTTGGAAGTGCTGGGATTTGTACTCAGGGCATCATAGTAGCTAAGCAGGCACTCTACCACTTTAGTCATACTTAGAGATTTCTTTAAACAGTCTTGTTTCTGTGTAGTAGGAGATGATATTTAGAAAGCTTAGTGA